CTGAAATAACAAGAAATTGGCCCAAAATGGGGGGTTCCCTTTAAAACACCCCCATAAAATCCTAATATATTAAAAAAAATGCAAAAAATCCATCAAAAAGTTTAAAATCGGCTCAAAATGTGGAAAAACGGCCCCAAAATGTAAAGGGTCGCCCCTGAAATAACAAGAAATTGGCCCAAAATGGGGGGTTCCCTTTAAAACACCCCCATAAAATCCTAATATATTAAAAAAAATGCAAAAAAATCTATCAAAAAGTCACCAAAAATTTTAAAATCGACTCAAAATGTGGAAAAATGACCCGAAAATATGAAGGATCGCCCCCGAAATAACAAGGAATGGACCCAAAATGGGGGGTTCCCTCTAAAACACCCCCCCTAAAATCCAAATATATTAAAAAAAATGCAAAAAATCCATCAAAAAGTCACCAAAAAGTTGAAAATCGGCTCAAAATGTGAAAAAACGGCTCAAAAATGTAAAGGGTCGCCCCCAAAATAACAAGGAATGGACCCAAAATGGGGGGTTCCCTCTAAAACACCCCCCAGAAAATCCTAATATATTAAAAAAAATGCAAAAAACCCATCAAAAAGTTTAAAATCGGCTCAAAATGTGGAAAAACGGCCCCAAAATGTAAAGGGTCGCCCCTGAAATAACAAGAAATTGGCCCAAAATGGGGGGTTCCCTTTAAAACACCCCCATAAAATCCTAATATATTAAAAAAAATGCAAAAAATCCATCAAAAAGTTTAAAATCGGCTCAAAATGTGGAAAAATGGCCCCAAAATGTAAAGGGTCGCCCCTGAAATAACAAGAAATTGGCCCAAAATGGGGGGTTCCCTTTAAAACACCCCCATAAAATCCTAATATATTAAAAAAAATGCAAAAAATCCATCAAAAAGTTTAAAATCGGCTCAAAATGTGGAAAAACGGCCCCAAAATGTAAAGGGTCGCCCCTGAAATAACAAGAAATTGGCCCAAAATGGGGGGTTCCCTTTAAAACACCCCCATAAAATCCTAATATATTAAAAAAAATGCAAAAAATCCATCAAAAAGTTTAAAATCGGCTCAAAATGTGGAAAAACGGCCCCAAAATGTAAAGGGTCGCCCCTGAAATAACAAGAAATTGGCCCAAAATGGGGGGTTCCCTTTAAAACACCCCCATAAAATCCTAATATATTAAAAAAAATGCAAAAAAATCTATCAAAAAGTCACCAAAAATTTTAAAATCGACTCAAAATGTGGAAAAACGGCCCCAAAATGTAAAGGGTCGCCCCTGAAATAACAAGAAATTGGCCCAAAATGGGGGGTTCCCTTTAAAACACCCCCATAAAATCCTAATATATTAAAAAAAATGCAAAAAAATCTATCAAAAAGTCACCAAAAATTTTAAAATCGACTCAAAATGTGGAAAAATGACCCGAAAATATGAAGGATCGCCCCCGAAATAACAAGGAATGGACCCAAAATGGGGGGGACGCCCCAAAAATAGAATGAAAGTGACCCAAAAACTGCGAAATTCTGCCTGAAAGGGGGAGAAAAATGACAGGAGTGAAGGAAAAGTGCCCCCAAAATGCTAAAAAACTGCCCCAAATGGGGAAAAAACGCCTCAAAATGTGAAAAAACTGCTCCAAAATGGAAAGAAAACGCCTTAAAATGAAAAAATGCCCTCAAAATGCATAAAAAATACCTTAAAATGATAAAAATGCCCCAAAACCGTATAAAAAACCACCTTGAAATGATAAAAATGCCCCAAAATGCAAGAAAAAAACACCTTAAACTGGTAAAAAACTCTCCAAAAATGTAAAAGAAGTACCTTGAAATTATAAAATCCCCCCAAAATGCATAAAAAATACCTTAGAATGATAAAAATGCCCCAAAAATGAAAAAAAAAATCTTAAAATGGTAAAAATGCCCCAAAACTGTACAGAAAATATCTTAAAATTATAAAAATCCCCTCAAAATACAAAGGGCGACCCCAAAATAGCGAGAAACTGCCCCAAAATGGAAAGGGGGCGGCCATAAAATGAGCCTAAAAAAGGCTAAAACGTGGAAAAGAGCCTTAAAAATGCACCTAAAATCAGTAAAAGCAGCAAAATGTTGTTAAAACTCATCAAAAATGTGTTAAAACACCCCAAAAAAGAGGGGAAACCACCCCAAAATGGGGGGAAATGACCCCAAAATGGGGGGAAAAGGCTGCAAAATGGGAAAAACACCCCAAAACGGGGGGAAATGACCCCAAAATCTACTCCCCACCCTCAAAAATAGCGAAATGTCCCAAAACGCCCCTAATTCCCCCCAAACCCCCTGTGGTTTTTACCTGCCGGGGGCGGGCTCCGCGCGGCTCCGTCCTTCGTCCCCCCTCCTCCTCCTCCTCCTCCTCCTCGCCCTTCCCTGCCGTGGCTTTTTGGGGCGAAAAAGGGCAAGGTTTGGGTCTGGAATTTCCCGGCTTTTTGCCCAAAATCGCGCTTTTTTACCCCAAAAAATGAGGGCTCACCTTGGGGCTCGCGCGCCTCCCTCTCCAGCCGCTGCTGCAGCAGCTCCTGCTGCTTCTCCAGGTACTGCTTGATGAAGCTGTTCTGGCTCATCTCCTCCCCGATCTGGGGTGAAAAACCCCCGTTTTGGGTCAGTGGGGGCAGCGGAGAGGGGTTTTGGGGTGAAACCGGCGGGTTTTGGGGGCTTTTCCCACCTGGGAGTTGGGCTGGAAGGTGCCGTGGGGGCTCGAGTGTTTCTGCAGGTTCTCCAGCATCAGCGCCTGGGTTTTGGGGGAAAAAAGAGGAAAATCAGTGCTTTTTCCCTATTTAGAAGCCCCCCCAAATCCTTCGGTTTCTCCCCAAAATCATCTTTTAAGAAATAGCTCAAATATATCTCAAATCCCCCCTCAAACTACCCCAAAATGGGATTTTTTACCTCAAATCCCCTCCCAAACTCCCCCAAAAAGCAACTTTTTACCTCAAATTCTCTCAACAAACTCCCCCAAAATGTGATTTTTACCTCAAATACCCCCAGACTCCTAAAAAAGTCCATTTTTACCTCAAATCCCCCCTCAAACTACCCCAAAACAGGATTTTTTACCTCAAATCCCCTCCTAAACTCTCCCAAAAGGCAACTTTTAACCCCCAATTCCCCCTCAAACCGCCCCAAAACACAGGTTTTTTTACCTCAAATCCCCTCCCAACCTCCCAAAAATGTGTAATCCCCCCTCAAACTACCCCAAAACAGGATTTTTTACCTCAAATCCCCTCCTAAACTCTCCCAAAAGGCAACTTTTTACCTCAAATTCCCCTCACACTCCCCAAAAATGTGCTTTTTGCCTCAAATTCCCCTCTCAACTTCCCAAAAATGTGGTTTTTCCCTCAAATTCCTCTGACACTCCCCAAAAATGTGATTTTTGCCTCAAATTCCCCTCGCAGACCCCCCCAAAGTCAAGTTTTACCTCAAACCCCCCAAAAACGTGTTTTTTCCCCTCAAAATCACTATTATTTTATCAAGTCCCCCTCAGATTCCCCCAAAACACAGTTTTTACCCCAAATCCCCTCACAAACCCCCCCAAAACACGGTTTTTACCCCAAAACCCCCTCACAGACTCCTCCAAAACTCAATTTTCCCCCCAAATCCCCTCACAAACTCCCTCAAAACTCGACTTTTCTCTCAAAATGTTCTCACAAACTCCCCCAAAACTGCGATTTTTACCCCCAAATCCCCTCAAAACACCCTTTTCACCCCAAATCCCCCTCACAACTACCTCGAAAACACAATATTCCCTCAAAATCCTTTCACAGACTCCCCCAAAATACCACTTTCCCCCCCCAAATCCCCTCAAGCTCCCCCTCAAAACCCCATTTTCCCCCCAAATCCCCTCACAAACTCATTCAAAACGTGACTTTTACCCCAAATCCCCTCAAAATGCAACTTTTACCTCAAACCCCCCTCACAACTCTCCTCAAAACCCTGTTTTCCCCTCAGATCCCCTCACAAACTCCCTGAAAGTGCGATTTTTACCCCAAACCCCCTCAAAACGCGACTTTTACCTCAAATCTCTCTCGCGACCCTCTTTCAAAACCCCCTTTTCCCCACAAATCGCCTCACAAACTCCCCCAAAACTGCAATTTTTACCCCAAACCCTCCACAAATCGCGACTTTTACCTCAAATCTCCCTCACGATCCCCCTCAAAACCCCCTTTTCCCCACAAATCCCCTCACAAACTCCCCCAAAACCGCCAGTTTTACCCCAAATCCCCTCGCGACCCCCCTCAAACCCCTCAAAACACGACTTTTACCTCAAATCCCCTCACAAACTCCCCCAAAACCACGATTTTTACCCCAAATCCCCTCACAACCCCCTACAAATCCCTCAAAACGCGACTTTTACCTCAAATCGCCATTACGACCCTCCTTAAAACTCCGTTTCTCCCCCAAATCCCCTCACAAACTCCCCCAAAATCACGTTTTTTACCTCAAATTCCCTCACGACCCTCCTCAAACCCCTCAAAACCCCATTTTCCCCACAAATCCCCTCACAAACTCCCCCAAAACCGCCAGTTTTACCCCAAATCCCCTCGCGACCCCCCTCAAACCCCTCAAAACACGACTTTTACCTCAAATCCCCTCACAAACTCCCCCAAAACCACGATTTTTACCCCAAATCCCCTCACAACCCCCTACAAATCCCTCAAAACGCGACTTTTACCTCAAATCACCCTTACGACCCTCCTTAAAACTCCGTTTCTCCCCCAAATCCCCTCACAAACTCCCCCAAAATCACGTTTTTTACCTCAAATTCCCTCACGACCCTCCTCAAACCCCTCAAAACCCCATTTTCCCCACAAATCCCCTCACAAACTCCCCCAAAACCGTGAGTTTTACCCCAAATCCCCCTCAAAACGCGACTTTTACCTCAAATCCCCTCACAAACTCCCCCAAAACCACGATTTTTACCCCAAATCCCCTCACAACCCCCTACAAATCCCTCAAAACGCGACTTTTACCTCAAATCACCATTACGACCCTCCTTAAAACTCCGTTTCTCCCCCAAATCCCCTCACAAACTCCCCCAAAATCACGTTTTTTACCTCAAATTCCCTCACGACCCTCCTCAAACCCCTCAAAACCCCATTTTCCCCACAAATCCCCTCACAAACTCCCCCAAAACCGTGAGTTTTACCCCAAATCCCCCTCAAAACGCGACTTTTACCTCAAATCCCCTCACAAACTCTCCCAAAACCGCGATTTTTACCTCAAATCCCCTTGCGACCCCCCCTCAAGTCCCTCAAAACACGACTTTTACCTCAAATCCCCCTCACAACCCTCCTCAAAACCCCCTTTTCCCCCCAAACCGCGATATTTTCCCCAAACCCCCCTCAAAACGCGACTTTTAACTCAAATCCCCTCACGACCCTCTTTCAAAACCCCCTTTTCCCCCAAAATCGCCTCACAAACTCCCCAAAACCACGATTTTTACCCCAAAACCCCTCGCGACCCCCCTCAAATCCCTCAAAACGCAACTTTTACCTCAAACCGCCCTCACGACCTTCCTCAAAACCCCGTTTCTCTCCAAAATTCCCTCACAAAGTCCCACAAACTGCAATTTTTACCCCAACCCCCCTCAAAACGCGACTTTTACCTCAAATCCCCCTCACAACCCTCCTCAAAACCCCCTTTTCCCCCCAAACCGCGATATTTTCCCCAAACCCCCCTCAAAACGCGACTTTTACCTCAAATCCCCTCACAAACTCCCCCAAAACCACAATTTTTACCTCAAATCCCCCTCACAACCCTCCTCAAAACCCCCTTTTCCCCCCAAACCGCGATATTTTCCCCAAACCCCCCTCAAAACGCGACTTTTACCTCAAATCCCCTCACAAACTCCCCCAAAACCACAATTTTTACCTCAAATCCCCCTCACAACCCTCCTCAAAACCCCCTTTTCCCCCCAAACCGCGATATTTTCCCCAAACCCCCCTCAAAACGCGACTTTTACCTCAAATCCCCTCACAAACTCCCCCAAAACCACAATTTTTACCTCAAATCCCCCTCACAACCCTCCTCAAAACCCCCTTTTCCCCCCAAACCGCGATATTTTCCCCAAACCCCCCTCAAAACGCGACTTTTACCTCAAATCCCCTCACAAACTCCCCCAAAACCACAATTTTTACCTCAAATCCCCCTCACAACCCTCCTCAAAACCCCCTTTTCCCCCCAAACCGCGATATTTTCCCCAAACCCCCCTCAAAACGCGACTTTTACCTCAAATCCCCTCACAAACTCCCCCAAAACCACAATTTTTACCTCAAATCCCCCTCACAACCCTCCTCAAAACCCCCTTTTCCCCCCAAACCGCGATATTTTCCCCAAACCCCCCTCAAAACGCGACTTTTACCTCAAATCCCCTCACAAACTCCCCCAAAACCACAATTTTTACCTCAAATCCCCCTCACAACCCTCCTCAAAACCCCCTTTTCCCCCCAAACCGCGATATTTTCCCCAAACCCCCCTCAAAACGCGACTTTTACCTCAAATCCCCTCACAAACTCCCCCAAAACCACAATTTTTACCTCAAATCCCCCTCACAACCCTCCTCAAAACCCCCTTTTCCCCCCAAACCGCGATATTTTCCCCAAACCCCCCTCAAAACGCGACTTTTACCTCAAATCCCCTCACAAACTCCCCCAAAACCACAATTTTTACCTCAAATCCCCCTCACAACCCTCCTCAAAACCCCCTTTTCCCCCCAAACCGCGATATTTTCCCCAAACCCCCCTCAAAACGCGACTTTTACCTCAAATCCCCTCACAAACTCCCCCAAAACCACAATTTTTACCTCAAATCCCCCTCACAACCCTCCTCAAAACCCCCTTTTCCCCCCAAACCGCGATATTTTCCCCAAACCCCCCTCAAAACGCGACTTTTACCTCAAATCCCCTCACAAACTCCCCCAAAACCACAATTTTTACCTCAAATCCCCCTCACAACCCTCCTCAAAACCCCCTTTTCCCCCCAAACCGCGATATTTTCCCCAAACCCCCCTCAAAACGCGACTTTTACCTCAAATCCCCTCACAAACTCCCCCAAAACCACAATTTTTACCTCAAATCCCCCTCACAACCCTCCTCAAAACCCCCTTTTCCCCCCAAACCGCGATATTTTCCCCAAACCCCCCTCAAAACGCGACTTTTACCTCAAATCCCCTCACAAACTCCCCCAAAACCACAATTTTTACCTCAAATCCCCCTCACAACCCTCCTCAAAACCCCCTTTTCCCCCCAAACCGCGATATTTTCCCCAAACCCCCCTCAAAACGCGACTTTTACCTCAAATCCCCTCACAAACTCCCCCAAAACCACAATTTTTACCTCAAATCCCCCTCACAACCCTCCTCAAAACCCCCTTTTCCCCCCAAACCGCGATATTTTCCCCAAACCCCCCTCAAAACGCGACTTTTACCTCAAATCCCCCTCACAACCCTCCTCAAAACCCCCTTTTCCCCCCAAACCGCGATATTTTCCCCAAACCCCCCTCAAAACGCGACTTTTAACTCAAATCCCCTCACGACCCTCTTTCAAAACCCCCTTTTCCCCCAAAATCGCCTCACAAACTCCCCAAAACCACGATTTTTACCCCAAAACCCCTCGCGACCCCCCTCAAATCCCTCAAAACGCAACTTTTACCTCAAACCGCCCTCACGACCTTCCTCAAAACCCCGTTTCTCTCCAAAATTCCCTCACAAAGTCCCACAAACTGCAATTTTTACCCCAACCCCCCTCAAAACGCGACTTTTAACTCAAAGCCCTTCACGATCCCCCCCAAATCCCCTCACAAACTCCCCCAAAACCGCATTTTTTACCTCAAATTCCCTCACGACCCCCCTCAAACTCCCTCAAAACCCCCTTTCCCCCCAAATCATCTCACAAACTCCCCCAAAACAGCGAGTTTTACCCCAAATCCCC